TCATATAAAAATAATATTTTGAGAACAATATAATAAAAGTTTAAATAAGATAAAATACAATATAAAAAAAATTAAAGAAACAATAAAATGTAATGAATAAGATGTATTTGGTGTTTTAAWAGAGAATTAGGTTTCATTTTAAAGTTATATTAATAAAATACAAGTCTCTTACACTTTGTTCCATGGAGTGAGGGTAGGGTGGAAGAGGCCCGTTCCACTTTATTCATTTTCGTTCCATATAAAATTCTTGTCAAATGTGAAACAATGATYTTTGTTTTCTATCATTTATTTTTTTATATTTCATTTAGACATTTATCATATTAATATACGTAATTGTATATTAACTTGTGATAACCGGATCTTAGTTATCATCCGAGGTAATTTTTAGTAAATTTGATTTGAAATTAGGATTTTGGCAAGTCAAAATGCATCAAGACAGCATAAAATGGACGACTTTTACTTGTCCAGAAGGTCATTTTGAATGGTTAGTTATGTCTTTTGGGCTTAAGAATGCCCCGAGTATATCTCAAAGAAAAATGGAAGATATTTTTAATAAGCATAACAATTTTGTGGCCGTTTATATAGATGACATTTTGGTATCAGAGCATTTACGTTATGATCATCTTTTTGTTGTTGTGTGTAGATAAGTTTTTATTATTCTTAGTTCCGTATTGTTTTTTCCTTCCGTCTAGCTCCGTGTTTTTTTATTTCCGCTTAGTTACGTTTAAGTTTAAATTTTGTGTTGTACAATAATTGTTGTGTTTATTTGTTGCATAATATTTGTTGTGTTTGTTTGTTGCATAATTAGTGTTGTGTTTGTTTGTTGGTAAAGTTGTCATTAAAAAACAAAAAAAATTTTCCTTGTGTTGTTTTTACTATTTCATCTCTTAATTTGTTTAATCAATATTTCCTCTTTATCTGTTAATCTTATTAATTTATGTGTTTCTCTGTTTTTGCTGTATTTTATAAAAAATACAAAAAAAAAAAAAAATTTAAAACTGGAAAACAAAAAAATTGGATTATCTTGGTCTTGAACTCTCGGTTCCAAACAAAAGATCTGTTTTATTACCAGATAAAAATAAGCTCAAATGTAATGTAACACCCCCAAATCCATACATTGCATATATCACATATTTCATATATAGAATACATGTTTTCCCCCACATAGGTCCTTGATACAAGAGTCTATAATGTAAAATACGCAACCCAAAATTTCAAAAGTACATGTTCTCATTCTAGCATCTATGCTTCCAAAACAGCAAAGCACATAGGGAAGTAATTCACATAATGTTTTTTCCSTTRTTATCATTACCTGCACACATATTTTGAAAACACGAAATGAGGGTTAGACATGAATGTCTAGTGARGTTCCCTWTTATGTGATACATGGTGAAGATCACCAAAACATTTATCAAATAATCATTTCACAACATGTGGAATAAAATCARATTCTGTTTTGGTCCATCGAGCCTCTGGTTMCAAACTACACTTAGAATATATTTCAATAACTAGGACTAGAACCCCTCTGGTCTATCTTCCAGAGCTTCTGGTTCCTCGACCGGAGCCCCTCTGGTCTCTCTTCCAGAGCTTCTGGTTCCTCGACCCGAGCCTCTGGT